GGAGGTTGGTGGGGGCTCAGTAGGTCGAAAATCTGGAGAGTAAAGTCGACTCTTGTGCCTTCTTTATAGGTTACGAAAGTGACACCGATTCTGAATTTACATTCAAAATGCAGGATTATAATAAGGATGATATGTCGTATCGAAGGATTTCGGCTATTGAACCAAAGTCTGCTTTACCATTCAACCGTTTCTTACCCAACAAAAATAGACAAGCATCCTATATGCCAGCACCCTTGAGGAAGAAAAAGCCGGATAAAAATGAAGATAACAGAAGAAGTTGGGCAAGTCCGGTCTACACCGAAGCAGATGGAACGTTTTCCAGGTACCGAGATGTGATGTGATTATGGTGTTCAGTACGCTTTGTGAATTAGTGGGATATTTACAAGTAGTGAAAGAATGTATTTTATAGAGAATATATTCCATGTCACTATTGAGAGGTTTTGTACCTTCTATTTTTAGTCATACATCTCGTGAAGGTGTTTCGTCTGTTTTAGAATGTCAGCATGTGATTTGCTAGGTCTTTTTTTAGAGGTGTGCCTTTAGTTGATGAGTTTTCCATCTTACCAAATGACTTACACTGTTCATTGTGAGCTCTGCTGTTACCCTTCCCCATCCTCCCCCTGTTTTGACTGATCTTAGCAGACACGGAAGGAATCCTTTAATTTCCCATCAAATTAGCAGACCGGAGTGTGATTTTTCACATCCAGCTTCCTCTCAGAAGGAGATATATGGCTCTGAAAGTGGTTCAGACTCTGAGGAGGGACGAAGATTGCCTGACGTGATTTTGGATGACTTAGCCAACCGTAGATTCCAAGTGAAAAAGAGACCCAAGAGTTCCAACTTGAAAACCACCGTTCCTAACTCCTGTCAGCGAGTATTTCCTCCTGCTGGTCCGTTAGCTCCCAGGCTATACAAACAGACGAGGTCAGGAATATTTGTCCTGGATCTGGATGTCTATCATGCAGCTGATTTTAATTCAGAAAGTAACACCCCAAATTGTTTGCAAGCTGTCTTATTTTAACACAGCTTCTAATTAAGTACCTTTGGCCCGTACGTACCTAGCTTCTCTCTAATTACAGTGACATGCTGTTGTAATGCCTGAAGTTTGTTCTAGGAGCTGCAGTGATGAGAATGTGCGTGCATTTGCTCCATTCATGGTGTAAGCACTCCAAGCCTGAAAGCATGCCTCTTGTGTTCTGTGTCACCAATTGCTCATGTAGTGTCTTAACGGGTTGGATATTTTGTACAGTCACAAGAGAAGGACTTGGGGCACCAATGTGGAGCACTGGTCAACAGCTCAAGAATCTTCAAACTCCTCTTGTCGCTTGGAAGAGGAAGAAGAAGAGACAACAGGCATACCCAACATTGTAAAGGACGATCTTTATGTGCGAAAGCTAAGTCCAATCATGCCAAACCCAAGGAGTTCTTTTGATCAGTTTCTTCCCAAATGCTGGACCCCTGAAGAGATGAGCTGGAAAAGAATAAAAAGGGAAACTTATAAACCATGGTATAAAGAATTTCAGGGATTCAGGTTTGTCTTTGCTCATGTTCCTGTTATTGGCTTATTCATTCATTGCCCTGACCAGGTGTGCTCTGTGTGTATTTTTTATGAGAGGATAGTGAAAGTCTATTTCATTTTCCCTCTAACATCTCTAGAACGGTTATAATGGAAAAGAATTTCTGTTTAAATTTAAACTTGAGAATTTGGATCTTAAAAAGTCCTCCTCTCCTATACATAGTCATAGCCTGGCATTATTTTTAGTAGTTCTATTTTCCTCCAATTCTTCTTTTCCCTCCCCCTTCTTTTCTCTGTCATTTCATAGTAGAAGGAATTCAGACTCTGAGGATGAGGACTCAGGCTCTGATGGAAGTGCTGCCATTTTTAATAGCATACAAAAAGCAGAAGGTAGGCTAGACAGCAACTGTCAAAGACGTTCACTCTTGCTGGAGCTAGCTACCAAACGGGCCATAAAATCCCAGGACACCCATGCAGCCAGGAGAGCCAGCGGTGCTTCGGATGAGCCCAGGTGCACCTGTCTGCATGAGCCTGCCTGCTTGGGGTCTGATTGCAGACACCCTCCTCTGCCCGCTTCTCTTGCCACTTTAACCCTGGGACCTGAATGTGCTAAATTATGAAAGCTTATTCACCTAATGGGTGTAGTACAAGAGCATAATGTATAACACGTGCTTTCTGCGTGAGCATGTAAGCTTGGAAGTCCCTAGGAGTCAGCATTCTTCTTTAGCACAGTAATACACAAGAGACTACATTTTCAGGGGATATAATTATTTTGGAAAGCCTTTTTTATTTTTTTAAGAAGAATTACTTTATTTAACTTTATTTATTTATTTTAATTTGACCAGAGAGGGATAGTGAGAAAGAGAGAGAGAGTGAGTGGGCAAGCAAGCCACCAGGTTGAGGACTTGAACTGCGATCTATCATGTGAGATTCCAGTGCTGTTAACCTCCTTGCCACCTACCTGGAAAGCTATTTTTAAAATGCTTTTGAAGAGATGGCCTAATTTTATAGTTGTGCTGGGGTAGAGAAGTAGAGAAATGAGCTAACTTTTAAATAGAGACTGGAAAAGGCAAGTCTGATGGGAAAGATATATAGGAGAAATTCCTCAAAGTCTTTCATAAAACTTGCAAGAAATTATTTTTTTTTCTCCTGATTACATGTACTCATTGCATGAAGTGCTTGATGCCTCACTCTAGAAACTTCCCAAGATCATTTCTTCTTCTAGGAAGTGGATTAGGCCCCAGTAACTAAGAGAATGAGAAAAGGGGTACAGGAAGTGGTGTATGTGTTTGGGAGGTCTACTCGCTCTGAATTTCAGCTGTATTAGTTGGCCTCAGTGCCCACCTATCCTGGTGCACTCTACCCTTGCTTGTTTAAGTGGTGCCCAGGCCAGTCAAGGATGATGGCATTAAGTGCTAGTCTGCCTTCCTAGCAAGAGTCCCTCTCATGGCCCACTAAAATATTTCACCCACTGTAACTGGTGAGTTGGTCTGCTACTTGATGACGCTTTCTCTTTATATCTCCTTAATATGAGTCTCCCTTCCTGTTTCTTTTCTGTGCTTCAGTCAGTTTTTATTACTTCAGGCCCTCCAAACATACTCCGATGACATCTTGTCTTCTGAAACAAATATCAGACTTGATCCCACTTCTGGTCCGCGGCTCATAACACGCAGAAAGAATCTCTCTTATGCACCCAGCTACAGAAGAGATGACTTCGATATGTCAGCCCTGGATCCTGACTTAGAGAATGACGACTTCTTTGTCAGAAAGACAGGGGCGTTTCGTGCAAATCCGTACGTTCTCCGAGCTTTTGCAGACCTTAGAAGTTTCTCTGAGCAAGACGATCCTGTAGAACGAGATATAATTTTGCAATGTCGGGAAGGGGATGTTGTACTTCCAGATTTAGAAAAAGATGATATGATTGTTCGCCGGATGCCAGCGCAGAAGAAAGAGGTGCCTCTATCCGGGGCCCCAGATAAATACCAGCCAGTCCCTTTCCCTGAACCCTGGACTCTCCCCCCGGAAATTCAAGCCAAATTTCTCTGTGTGCTTGAAAGGACACGCACACCCAAGGAAAAAAGTAGTAGCTGTAGAATATTGGTTCCTTCGTATCGGCGGAAGAAAGATGACATGTTGACTCGAAAGATCCAGTCTTGGAAACTGGGAACTACAGTGCCTCCCATCAGTTTCACCCCCGGCCCCTGCAGTGAGGCCGACTTACAGAAATGGGAGGCCATCCGGGAGGCCAGCCGTCTTAGGCACAAGAAGCGGCTGATGGTTGAGAGGTCAGAGTGTGTTTCTGCAAGGATTTTGCTTGTCATGGATGCTCTCGTATACATTTCCTTGTGCGAGCAAGTGGTATCTGTTGTTCATCCCTGCATGTTGCGTGCCAATGTGAAGCATCCTGTAAAAACTTACTTTGCTTTGAGAACCTTTTAGTCATTTTGTGGAAAAAGTGCAATTCCATATTTGCACACATCTAAATCGCTTATTCGGGCCTGTTTAAGAAGGTGTACCTACAAAACCTTGTGTTTGGCCTTGAGACCCTGGTAATATACTACAATATAATTTTTCTCTGAAAATGTTTTCCAGTTGTTTTGCAGATGTTTAGTTTCGTGTCCAGGCATTAGTGAAACAGTCTGGTTGTAGTTTGGTTTTATGTTTTTCTCATATTTTGAAGTGTGTGATTTTTGTGTAAACATTTCCCTTAAAATATGGCATTGCAAATTTCGTTTAACATGATTTTTGTTTTTGACCTAGGTTTCTCTGGCTATTAACGTCTGACTTATTTTCATTGATGGTTTAAAGTTTAGTGCAAACGCTGAGGTTTCAATGCATGAATGTTATTTGCTATCTGCTGAATTTTACATGTATAATTGTGGCCATTTTGATAACGTTTGTGTTCCAACTTGCCTTTTTAATGAATGTTCAGTTTGTTGAATTTAGAAATGGGCAAATCTGATTAGGCTGAATAAAATGAGTAAACCCAAATCTAATTTATCAATTCCCGACAATGAGGAGCCCTTTCTTATGGATTTGTTTGTTCAGAGTAAATTGAGAAACCTTTTATTTGCTTAATCTGAATTCCTTGAAATAGGAGATCAATGAGAACTTGAGACATGATAACGAATGTGGCTGAAGAAGCAGCCTGTTGAGATTTGTTCATTTCTAGTTAGACTCTTAAGTTAAAGATATTGAGGATTTAGAAGCTGACAGTGGAAAAATGACTCTAAATTTTTTGGTTTTCTGGTTTCTAGACTCTTTCAAAAGATTTATGGTGAGGATGGGTAAGTTTTGTGGTTCGTAGTTTAAAAAAAAATCTCTACACATTGTTTGTCCTTTGCATACGGTGTCCTGGCATGTCACTAAATGGGGATGCTATGTGCTGTGCATGAGGTTTTAAACATGGGAAATACTTATTAATTTTGCAACCTAATGGGAATATTTCTGTGTTGAGTGCTCAGTGCATGATATGCTAATATAACAATAATAGTTTTTGTTTTATTAGAATTTAAAATTCAACTTTATTTTCTTTTTAAGGACTCAAAAGTAACAAAAGCAGATGCCTAAGATTAGGTATTTTTTATTTTGGTACTTGCTACATAGATTAAGATTTTGATTTCTTGACGTTGAGGTCTGAATAATTACATCGTAGAAAATCCATGATGAACAATGAATATTATCATTTGCTTTGAGGTTAGAATGCATTCAGTTGGAGCTTTGTTAGTGGTGATGGTGCGTGGCCTTAATGTTCTCGTAGTGATATTTGAAATAGTTTTAAGATTCCTGATTAAAGTTAAAAAGTTATAACATAGCCGTGTTTGTGGAACCAAACTGGCTTTCCAAAACTGCAACAATAGAAATCTTGGTAGTTTCAGATACATTTGCCAGGATTATATTCCTAAGAAATTCTAAATTTTATTGCTTAATTCTATGCACCTCGTAGGCAAAATAAATTGTTACAGTATAAAACTGACTTTCTGGAGATGTTTTTCATTTCAAAATAACTGAAATTTAAAAGTCAGTAGTTTTTTTTGTTTTTTAATATAATAAAATTTCCCTAGTGGCTACATCATTTGTTTTAAAACAAACTTTCTTAACTTTGTGATTTTAATTAAAATTTAATTTCTTGAAGTTGAGGTCTAAATAATTACATTTACTAATAGTTTTTGATCAAGAGGAAGAATTAAGGATGTCAAGTGTTTTAATCTGTGTAAGATCAGTAGCTAAATATCTTCCTCTACCAGGATTTATTTTATCTCTAAGAATCTCTAATTCTGATAGCTTTAGGTAATTCTGATGGTTCAGAAATCTTAGAAGCTACTTGAATTACTATTTAAAGCAAATAGTCATTCCTTTTTTTTTTTTTTTGAGAAGTTTTTGCTCTAGGGTGTGTGTGTTTGCCAGAAAAACAGAGAGAGACAGAAAGAAAGTGAGAAATCCTCCCCCCTGCGGGAATGGCCATGCTGCAATCCCTTCTCCTCCATTCTTCTCTCAGGATCTTGGGCACACATGCACATGTGCCTGGCGTGAGTTTAAGCCACTGGGTCTGGGACTTGAACTGTGGTCGACTACATGGGAGTCTAGCAACATAACCATTACGCCAACTGCTGGTCCCAAAGCAAACAGTCATTCTGTTGCTAAATGTCAAAGATGTAATGAGCCATGGATAACTAATTATTACTTCTCAGCCACAGGTTTTTATTTTTTATTTTATTTTTTATTTTTTTTAAGGTATTTGCCACAGGGCACATGTGCTCACCAGAGAAAGAGAAAATGAGAGGGAGTGAGAAAGCTCTCTCCAAAGGGGATGGCTGCACCAAAATCCCATCTTCATTTTCTTCCTCGAATTTTAGGCATTTACACACACACACACGGCTGGTGTGATTTTCAGTCTGCCAGGTCCGGGACTCAAACTGTGGGAGTCCAGTGCTTTAACCACCATGCAACCTGCTGATCCCCTAGCCACAAATTTTGAAAGTCAGGCTCCCAGTATATATTTCTACATAAAGACA